ACTCCCTCCTCACCTCCTCCTCTTAGAATCACTTGTTTCCTTCAAGAGTCAGCGCCAATTTCTACATAAAACCTTTCCTGCCGCCCTACCGTCTTCCAGCTCCCAGGTCCTTCCCCAAATTCTCCAAATATTTATCTGGTTTATACTTATTTATGTACTTCCTAATAGAATGTAAGCTCCTTGACAGAAATGGACTTTCTTTATAACCCTTGGAGCCTGGCATATACTAGGTGCTTAACAAATGTTTGTTGACTGATGTCATTAAAGACTTTCTCCCAGGTTCACACCAATTCACCAAGTAATAATAGTAACAAAATAGCTAGTATTTATATAGTGCTTTGAAGTTTGCAAAGCACTTTGCAAATATCTCATTTTTTCTTCACAACTCTGGGAGATAGGTGCAGTTGTTATCCCCATTTTACAGACAGGAAGTTAAGGCAGACAGAGGTGACTTGCCTAGGATCCCCTAGTTAGGAAATGCCTAAGGCTGGATTTGAACTCATGTCTTCCTGACTCCAGATCCAGCATTTAATCTACTATAACTAGCTGCCTCTAAACATAATAATGTGTAACTGAAAAGGGTAAAATCTCCTTCTCGGCAGAGGAGTACAGGGATAAAGAAAAAAGGAAGATGTCTAAAAATTATAACAGATAGAATGAAGAAATATACTCAAGTACATCTTAGAGTTTGGGAGCTTAAGATGTTTACTCTAAAATATTTTAAAGCATATTGTTTGGTTAAGGCTGCACAGCTTAAATGAAGAACTTTAAAATACATAACAGGGTAAAAATTTATCCTATCTGTGGGAGTTGGAGGAGACAGCCACACTTTGAAAATAAGTCAAGACACTCACTCTATAGTTCAATACATGTAAAGAGTATCATACTGCCACCTACTGGCAGGAAATATATGCAACATTCTAGGAGGCAAAAATAGTCCTAAGAAAGTATAAACTGCTTAATAAAATTCACTACTTGGAAGATTTGTCACAGGTTGTCTCTCTAGAATAATCACTTGATGCTTAATAAAGCTGGATAAAGTACTGTATAAAGACTTGAACGCAGTAATTTTATTTACACAGTGCCTCAAGTGTTACTTCTAAGATGCTGAATAAGAGGTTTCTTTACTGAGTGGCTTTCCATAAGCAACATATTCATAGGCTCCGGTGTGAGTTTTCTGGTGTAAGAACTCAAAACGAAGGCTTTCTCATGTTCTTTGCAAATGAAGGCTTTCTCAACTTCTCTGCAAATGAAGATATTCTCACATCCTCTGCATTCACAGGTATTCCCTCTAGTATGAAATCTAATGTTTAATACTGTGTCCCTTCATAGTGAAAACTTCCCATATTCACAAGGATCACAGGGCTGGAACAAATTCCAAAGTCACCTATTCCCACCTGTATTTGCTCCCCAAGGCAACCCATTCCACTTTGTGGACTCATTGCTTTTTGATGTGTGAATTCGCTGATGTCTAATGAGGACTGAATTCTGGCTGAAGGCTTTCCCACATTCATTACACTCATATGGTTTTTCTCCTGTGTGACTTCTCTGGTGGCGAATGAGGCCTGAACTCTGGACGAAAGCTTTCCCACATTCATTACATTTGTAGGGTTTTTCACCTGTGTGTATTCTCTGATGTTTATTAAGGCTTGAACCCTGACTGAAAGCTTTCCCACATTCATTACACTTATATGGTTTTTCTCCAGTGTGAACTCTCTGGTGTCTAATGAGGGATGAATTCAGAATGAAAGCTTTTCCACATTCGCCACATTCATAGGGTTTCTCTCCAGTGTGAATTTTTTGATGTTGAATAAGATTTGAGGCATCACTAAAGGTTTTTCCACATGTATTACATGCATAGGGTTTCTCCCCAGTATGAACTCTTTGGTGCTGAATAAAGTTTGACGGATCATTGAAGGTTTTCCCACATTCATTACATTTATAGGGTTTTTCTCCTGTGTGAATTCTCTGGTGTTTAATGAGCCTTGAACTCTCACTGAAGGCTTTCTCACATTCATTACACTCATAGGGTTTCTCTCCTGTGTGAATTTTTTGATGTTGTATAAGATTTGAGGCATCGCTAAAGGATTTCCCACATGCATTACATACATAGGGTTTCTCTCCAGTATGAACCCTCTGGTGCTGAATAAAATTTGATGGATCATTGAAGGTTTTCCCACATGCATTACATTCATAAGGTTTCTCTCCTGTGTGAATTCTCTGGTGTTTAATGAGCCTTGAACTCTCACTGAAGGCCTTCTCACATTCATTACACTCATAAGGTTTCTCTCCTGTGTGAATTCTCTGGTGTCTAATGAGGTTGTAGCTTTGACTGAAGGTTTTCCCACATTCAGTGCATTCATAGAGGTTTTCTCCAGTGTGAATCTGTTTATGTCTATTAAGCAAAGACTTTCTGGTATAGTGTTTACCACATTCATGGCATTCATAGGATTTTTCTGTAGAATTAATTCTCTGATGATCAGTGGTTGTAGACTTCTGACTGTTATACTCACAGGTATCCTCTACAGCTTGAATTCCCTGTACTTCACTGAGAGTAGAGCTTTGCCTGAATGCTTTCTGATATCCAATAGATTTACAGGATTTCTCTACCATAAGGTCTTTCTGATATTTAATTGGTCTGAATTTGGTTTGAATATTTGACTTATTTTATCATATTCCTGCAATGTCACTCCTGAAGAAACTCTGAGATATCTAATAGGGTTTGAGCCCTGAATAACACTTCTCACAAATTCATTATGTTCGTGGCTGGTCACCCTTGTGTAAGGTATATGGTGGATCATTGTCACTGATCTGAAACCTCTCTTCTGGTAAAGTAATTTTCCCACTCTCTTCCCTGAAGAAGACCAACAGTTTTCTTTTGATATGCCCTCATGTTCACTGGATTCTCAAATTTTGATCCTTGGGAAGTATCCCTTGTAGATCTTGCCAATATTGAGCAGTGGAACCCCATCTCATCAGAAATTTCCTGTTTTGGAGGCAATTCCTGGTTTCACAGTCTGAAACAATGAATATAAAATGCAGATGTATTAACTTCCTGTGATAAAACTAATTGTCACATTTGGCTATGATCAAGGTGCTGAGAGCACTTGTGGACATAATCAAGCTTATAAGATGTTAACTGAAAAAGGGATTCAGGGAATGGTTCATCACATGATTCTATTTGGAACCATGGGATTGATTTATTTGATATACTTTCAGCCTAGTAATCTCTGCTATGGCTAGCAAATCTTTCCAGCTGATTTAGGATTTTGGATTAGTCTGAGGAAAAACTTCTTAAATGACCAGACCTTCCAATAAATGAAACTGGATGCACCAGGAGGGCATCAGTTCCCTTTGCTAGAGATCTTCAAGCTAAGCCTAGCTGACTTCTTGTTCAGGATTCCTACATATGTATGAGTTGACCCCAATGGCCTCCAGGGTTCCTTCCAACTGACTGATTCTGTGATTCATATTATTAGGCTAGGATCATAGATAGGCCTGGCCTGTGAAGATGTTTAGATCATCACTCTGTCATCTAACATGCAAAAAATATTCTTCATAGTAGTTTCCTGTCATCTACAAATCTGATGGGTATACCTTTATTTAAGTAATTGAGAAAAATATGAAAGAGCACAGGGCCAAAGACAGATCTCTAAGTCACTCCGCCAGAAACCTGCTTCCAAGCTAACCATTTAATGATCATTCTTTGGCTCTGGTCATTCAACCAGCTTTGAATACTCCTAATGGTACTCTTCTCTAGCCTACATCTCTTTACACTCTTCACAAGAATAGAGTAAGAAATTCTATCAAATGCACTTCTGAAATCCAAGTATGCAATTTATCTCTAAGTTCTCCTTCACTCACCTGAACAAAAGTCTCTCCTCAGGATCTCTTTCTCCTTAGCTTCCTGAATGGCCTTTACCCATGGTTCTTCCCCTCCAGCCAGGAGATCACATCAGGCTTGGTCACTGGAAATCCTGCTTGTGGGGAAGAAAAGAGAGATTGCTGATTTATAGTAGGTTCGTAGAACTGTCCTAAACTCAGACCCAACCCCTAGATATCTAAAGGGTAAGGTAGGAAAAGAAGGGCAATGTCCAGAGAAACCAGAATAGAAAAACTCACAGGAGAACTATGCCTGTTCATAGGTGTTCTCAGGCCTGTGTCCTAGAGGGTTAGTAGAACAGGAGAGAACTGGTAACATGAGTATCAAGGGAATTAGTCATGCAAACATTTTCTTCCCTCTAAGAGGGTGAAAAATGACCACCTCTGGGGACAAAGGGAAGATTTAAATTCAGGGAGACTTAAGGAAGCTGTCCATTTCCAGCTTTGTACAGACTAGGTCTATAACCTAGGAACAGGGGGAGTAGAAATGCCTCATCTATAAAACTGAGCTAATAGTACTACCAAACTCACAAGATTGTTGCAAGGAAGTATTCTATAAACATTAACTTGCTGTAGAAATGGGAGTTTTTATTATTATTTTACTATTGTTATTAATAAATTCCTTGCCTCGACCCAGATGGGATTAAGAATTGCTGATACATGAAACTGACTGCAAACCCACCTGAGCCTTTCAGATACCTCTTTGATTCACTAGACCAGATGAACACCATGATGCTCAGATCTGAGTCCCCCAAAAGAGGGCTTACCCAGCAAGATCATGTTCCTACAAGTCTCCAGTACCATATCCCTGTAGAGGCCCCTCTGAGCAGGGCCCAGAAGAACCCACTCACCTGCCCTACAGGAAAACAGAAGAGAAAGGGGATCAGAAAAGGGGGGCAAGGCGTGATAGAAGGAAGGGCAGATCAAGGGAAGGGGCATTCAGAATGCATACCATCTTGGGGTGGAGGGAGGGGAGAGATGGGGAGAAAATTTGGAACTCAAAATCATGTGGAAATGAATGTTGAAAACTAAAAATTAATTACTTAATTAATTCAGAAGAACCCTCTTCCTGTGTAAGGTTTATAGCCACATCCGTGAAGTTCACCAAGATCTGTAGGAAAAGAAGTTTCAAACCATAGTCACAATGGCAGTTCAACTCGTTGGGGCTTGCAGAAAAGGGAAGAACTACCAACCTTCAGTGGGAGAGGAATGAAAAGGTACTTTTGGATATGGTGTGTGTGCGTGTGTGTGTGTGTGTGTGTGACTGTAAAAGACAAGAGAGAGAATACACTGGTAATGATATGAGTGTTTATATATTTCTTGCATATAAAGAGACTGTGCATATTGGTGTGAGCCCCTTCCTCAAGAGGTAGGTAAGTGATAGAATAAACTTTAGAAGAGGACATCCCATTTAAAACAGAATGTTCACCTATCCCAAATAGGAACAAGGAATAGGATTAATGGTTCCTTTTAATTTTATACTCCTTTCACAATTTTCCCAGGTCTTGTATCTGCAAACACTATACATATGTATGAAAAACTTGACACAACTAAACCCGTGTTTATCCAGAGTACAGAATGAGAGATTAGGGAAGCAGGAAGTAAGGGAAAGAAAATAACATTAGAAGAGTATTAATGCTTCAGTTTGTTTGAAAGAACTGAGAATATTTAGCCTGGAGAAAAGAAGCCTTAAGGAGGACCCCTGATAGCAGTCTTCCAATAAAAGCAACGTCTATGGATAATAATATCCATGGATGTTGTGAGTCTGATAATTTCAGTAAAACGCTTTGCAAGCTATAAATCACTATGTAACTTGCCAGTATTTGTTATTAAAGTAGCTGTTAATAAATTGTTTTTGAAGGATTGTCCTACAGAAGGATTAGACATATTCTCTTTACAAGAATCAAATGAGATAACATGTATAAAGTGTTTTGCAAACCTTAAAGCACCACATATGGGGTATAGGATAGACAAAGTGAAACAGAGATCTGAAGGCTGAGCCAGAGACAGACAAACATTGGTATTAAAAAAAAAAAAGAGGAAGAAGCGAGAGTCACCAACTAATCAAGTATTTATTAACACCTACTTGGTGTCAGGCAGTGGGAAATACAAGAACAAAGGATAAAACATTCCTGCTCACAAGGATCTTACATTCTAATGGAGGAGACAACAAACAGATATAAATATATAGAGTATAAATGCAAATATATACAAAGTAATTAAATAGGTAGGAGGAAAGGCATTATCAGTGAGGGGAATCAGCAAGGTTTCAAGCATCTTAAGGGAAGAGACCTCCTCTAAGAGGTAGAAGTTAAGGGGGTACTACATTCTAGCCATGCAGAAAGACCAGAACCCAGACACTGGGAGAGCTGACAGAGTGTTGTTTGCAAGGAACAGAGAGAAAGATAGTTTGGCAAAGGAGGAGCAATGTTCAGTGTGGCTGGCAAGATAATTTGAGGCCTGGTTGTATAGCGCTCTAGAAGCTAATAAGAAGAGCTTATATTTTATTTAAAGGTAAGAGGAAATCACTAGAGTTAACTGAGAGGTAAATCATATGGTGATGTTTGTGCTTAAGGAAAATTACTTTGACAGCTAAGTATAGGATGGAAGGGAGTGGTGAAAGATTAGAGGCAGGGAGACCAACTGAAGGCTACTGCAGTAATCTAAGCAAGAGGGGATGAAAGACTAGACTAGGATATCATCTTTGTAAACAAAGAATGGGTCAGATGTGAGAGAGGTATCCCGAAAGTAGAAATGGCAAGATCTGTCAACTGAGTGTATACATAAGATAAGGAAGAGTGAGGAGTTGAGGACTATGATCGGAGACACTAGAAGGCTGCCTCTGACTGAAATAGGGAAGTTTCAAAGAGGGGAAGGTTTTGGGGGAAAGATGAGTTCAGTTGTCTCTAGGATATTCCATCTGAAATGTTCAATAAGTCCTGGTAAGGTAGGACTGGAGTTCAGAGGAGAGAATGGGACCAGGTACATGGAGAGTTGTTCAAAAAGCCAGACATGAGAGATGTTGTAAAGGTAGAAAAAGCAAGATTTGGCAACTGATTAGATACAAGGGTGAGGAAAAGTGAATCCAGGTAAAGCCAAGATTATAAACTTGGGAGAAATCACTGATTTTTGACATTAATTCTGGGAATACAAAAGATTATGAAAGATATGGTGATCACCAACCATCCATTCATTAAGAATGTATCATGACAGTGGTTAAAAAAAATAGAAAAGTATATAATCTTAACATACTAAATTAAAAAAGGCCTAGAAGAAACTAAACACAATAGTTCAGTATTTGATAAGGCCAAGAAGGGGGGGAAAAATCCTTATGCAATAAAAATTTCTGGGGAAACTTGAAAGCAGTTTGGCAGAAATTAAGGTTAGACAAGTATTTGCATTATATTTTATAAGGTCAAAATAGATACATGACCTAAATATAAAAGATTATATCATCAAAAATTAGAGAAGAGAAGAAGGTACTTTTCAGATCTATGGTTAGAATTCCTAACCAAACAACAGACAGAGATGAATAAAAAAATAAATATTTTCAATAACATACAATTAAAAATCTTATGCACAAGTAGAAATCTGATCTTCATCTTCATCATGATCTCCAATCATTCCACCTCTCAATTCTTTTCCAGACCATTACACCCGTACTGTCTACACTCTCTCCCCTTCTATATCTTGACCCCTTGGTGAACCATTTCTACTCTAAATTGTTTTCTCCCTAGTCTTGCCCATTTATCCTATTGAAGATATTACCCTACCATGCCTCAACCCTGGATCACCCCTACTATCCATTGTCTTTGGGCCTACACATATGCTGCTGAATAAAGCTGGAGAAAATCACACAACTGGCTTTTCCAAACCTCAAATTTTATTCCTCTTCAAACCTCTCTTGCTTGCCCTCCTCTCACCTTCTGAACTGAGAACCTTGCCTCTGATTTCACTGAAAAAAAAAAACCTGAAACCATTCACTGAAAGTGCTCTATTCTCATTTCCATCAAGATGCCTTCCATCAGTTTCTCTTCCTTCAGCCTTGTTTCACACAAATCGGTATCCCTTCCCCCTACCAAGGCAAATCTCTCTATCTAATCTATAAGGGGGACTGGATTAGATGACCTCTAAGGTCACTTTAAGTTTTATATCTATAAACCTATGATTAAATTATATATTTGGCCTTAATATTAAGAGAATTAGAGCTGTACAAAAATATAATGAGCTGCCTTAGTAGGTAATAATTTCCCTATCATTGGAGGGCTTTAAACAAAGGCTAGGTTTTAGAGGGGGTTCACGCTTCTAGATTTCTTCTGGCTAGATCCATGTCCTTTTCCATTATGAAGTTTTATAATTCCATATATAGAAAAAGTCCAGAGGAAAAGGCCCGGGGGAAGGGTATCTGGTAGCTCTCAATCCCAAGACTTCTCTGGGTTCCTGGGGAACAAAATTGGGGTTCAGGTCTCAAGAACAGCAGTATACCAAAGAAAAAAAAAGTTCCTGGCTGAGAGAAGGAATTAAGGCCACCTTAGAAATCCAGCCATAAAAAGATCTCTAGATAGCTCACTTTGGGGCCTGGCTGACAAGAGCTCAACAGTCATCCTTGGTTTCCCCTTCAGGGTTTGATGGGAACATGGAATACAAACTTTGTAAGGGGAAGAAAAGGAACCAAGAGTAAGAAACCTCTTCCCTAGCTCTGCCCAATCATCTCACCCAAGAATTCTACAAGTGTCCCCATTTGGGTTTCTGGAACCTTTTAGGCCCCACTTTTTGTGGTGGCGCCCAACTGGGCATATGGCACATGACAGACTGCACAATCTCCCACATCGTGAGAGTTACTGGGATAAAGGCTACCTAGAATATGCCCTGCTATGAGCCCTATCTTATATGTCAAAAACAACTTGGACACAGAACCAACGTGGCATATTGGAGGAAAAATGTGCATACTAGTTTAGTTAAGAATAAAGGGTTCTGCAGAGAAACAACGGCAATAAAGCCGGAGAGGTAACTGGAGGATCTTGAATTCCACAGTAAAAAAAATACACACACACACACACACACACACACACACACATATACATACATATATATATATACATACATATATATATACATACATATATATATGTATGTATATATATATATATAGTTTTATTCTGTAGATCACACAAAAGTTTGGAGTTGAAAAGCACCTCAGAGGCCATCCAGTCTTGTCTACACTTTAACAAAAATCCTTCTTAAAAACAAAACCGACCAGTGGTGATCAAGTTGCTTTTGGTGGCAGAGCCCTTCACTTTAAAAAAAGGGGGAGGGGAGGGCTGGGGGAACTAAAAGACTTTGGTGAAAACTGCGTGAAATCTTTTCAAGTGATTTTTATTCTAATTAAACAAATTTACAACCCCACTTATTCTTTATAACAATTTCAGTCCCAATCTAACAATCTCACAACTTCCAAGTCTAGCTTACCAGGGGTGCAACTTTGGGCAAGTTCTTTTATTTCTATAGGCCTTAGTTTCTTATCCATTAAATGGGGGCCGCAATTTTGCTACTACTTAGTTCACAGAGTTGTGAGGAAAGAACTCTGTCAATCTTAAAGCACTATATAACTGTGAATTGTTATCAAGAAGGATGTGATTGGTTGCTATTTTTTTTTTGACATTTGCTCTAAAACCTCACTTTGCAAGATAAAATTAACTTCCTAACAATTAGTGTATTTTGCTTGTAAATTTTTTTTAAATTTGTTTTCTGAAACTACAAAACTAACATAATATCAGGATCATAGACGTAAATCCAAATTGGAAATAACCAGGTGGTGCAGGAGATAGAGAGCTGGGTTTGGAAACTGGAACATGAGTTCAAATCCAGTCTCAGATACTTAATAATTGTGTGACCCTGGGCAAATCATTTAACTCCTATTTGCCTCAGTTCCTCATCTGTAAAATGTGGATACACTGGTGAAGGAAATGGCAAACTGCTCCAGTATCTTTGCCAAGAAAACCACATGGACTTGGGGTCGTGAACAGTCAGATACAACTGAACAACAACGTTATCATATTATTTGCATTTATTTTAATTTGGGAGTAGATTCCATGATGTTTATTTCATTGGCAAATTCTTGATTATTATTTACCCTCCTAACTCTTCATCCAAACTTTCCAGTTTTACCAAATTACCTACATTGAACACTGACACACAAAAAAAATCCTAACTAAATATAGATACTGATTATTTTACATGCACTTTGCTGACAGACTAACAATCAACTGACTATACAACACACTATTGGATTCTTGAGTCTAGATAACTAGGAAGCCATCAGTCACATGATCAATTTCAACCAATCCCTAACAGTTCTTCCACTGACCTGAATTATAATATACATAACTATAAAATTATCCATTCTAATTGTAAATTATATAACAATTATAACACATAAAGCAAAATGGATCATGTACCAGTCCACCAAGATACTTTCCTTCATAGAACCCTGCATTGGAGAACCCCAGGTTTCCAATGAACAGAGTTTGAGAAATGCTAGTGTAGGCAATGATTTCTTATTTTATTCCCCTAAACAACTCCAAAGCTTTTTTTCTCTCTTCCCCATTTCCCACCCCCAAGCCTCCATTTTCAACAAATGATCTACTCTCTTCCTTCATTGAGACAACTGGTGAACTTCTCAGCTTCCTTCTTCCATTCCCAGAACAGTTTCTGCATAATCACCTATTTTTTTCCTACTTCCCTCCAGTCACAGAAATAGTATCATTACCACTCCTCACTAAGATCAATCCTTCTACCTAAGCCCTCTTTCCCATTCCCTCCTATCTCCTCTTTGTTCGAATAATCATCCCTTCTCTCATGTATCTTCAATCTCCCTCTTCACAAGATCATAATCTTGTATCCCTTTCCATCTACCTTTTATTATGGCCATGTCTCTGGAATCCTAAGAAAAATCCTTTTCTTCAACCTTTCCATCCCATCCACCTACCATTCAATCTTCTTGACTTCATTTCTAAATCATTTAAAAAGGGAAGCATCCAATATAAACATTTCCTTTGTACCCAATTCCTCTTCAACTCCTTGCAATCTGGCTTTGGGTCCCATTCTCCAATATATCAACAAATCCAATGATCTTTTTTCAGTCTTCATCTTCTTTGAACTCTGCAGCTTATGACACAGTTGATCATTCCCTCCTCTTTCCTCCCTGGGCTATACACCACACTAATTTGGTTCTTCTCCTACTTCTCAAACAACTGATGCTGTCTCTGTCCTCTTCCCAACCTTTTATTGTGGATGTCTCAGAAGACTCTTATTTTTAGCCTGTGTTCAAAATCCAGCTTAGGCCATTACTACCTCAGTGATCTTGGACAAATCACTTTATCTCTTTCAGACTCAGTTTTCTCAATTGTGAAATGGGTGCAATAATAATAATTAGCATGGGATTATTGTGGAGATCAAATGAGATAATTACAAAATTTCTTTGCAAATCTTAGTGTTACATAAATGTCAGGTTTTTTTTAATTGTTGTTCATTCTCTTCCCAGACAATTCCATTCATTCTCATGGCAGCATGGTACATAGTGGAAACTGCTAGATTTGGAGTCAGGCAGGAGAAATCTCATTTGCAATTCTGCCTCTGACACTTAATACCTGCATTATCCCATGCAAGCCACTTAACATCTCCTAGACTCACTTTCTTCACCTATTGACTTACTTCCATGGATTTATGACTTCTTCAATGTGGGTACTCTTTCAGGAGGTACAGATTACAATCCATCCATGCCTTCTCATCTCATACATATCCTTCCACAAATCCACCACTGGAAGTCCACTTAACATCTACTTAATTCACGCCCTTGGATCTCCAGATCTTGTATATATAACAATGGGGCTTGCAAGCACTCCACTGCTTTCATCTTTTGGCCAGTCCACTTTTTTCTTTCCAGTCATACATCTCTAGATATCCTCAATGCCACTTCTTTTGTATGATTCTGTGTTAGCAATAAGTTACTCCCTGCTCATGCCTACCACGCAACTTTCGAATGATGTTTGGATGGTGATTCACAACTTTAATTATTCAGAAACAGTAGAATTTCATGACCTGTAGTCATTACTGGAAGCATAATGAAATTAAAAAGAGGGCCTTGGTTTCAGGAAGAATCTTACTCAAAGGCAAAGACTATCTTTTGCCTTTCAGGCACTTAACAAAGTATATAGTAGGTATTTAATACTTGTTTAGTGAATGACTGAATGAATCTCAGGATCATTAAAAGGACTGTACAATTTCCAAAAGGGAATCTGGCCTGCTCTCCTACTTCAATTAAATTCTGGGCCCAGCTTATTATCTCTCGGCAGTTATCTGTACATACATGTTGGACTCTCTAACAGTCTGGGTATTGATGTGTTCCATAAGAAACAAAGGATGGATCTCACCATCTATGGAGAACCCTTCTTCCATTTGGATACTGAGATAGATTTTTTTTTCATTAATTTCTTCCCAATTAACAAGCTATTAGGGGGAAAAAAAGAAAAGAAAAACAAAAACCTTGTAACAAATATCGGACCAGACATCTTCCATGACCATGGCAAACCCCCTGAACAGGCAAACATTTCCCCAGTTAAATCTCATTTAATATTAATAATCAGAGGATCATCAAAGTTATTTATGTTCTATCAACTTTTTTCATTCATAAAATGGGAGTAATAATACTTAATTACCACATAGGATTATGGTTGAGATAATGTATGTAAAGCATTTTACAAACTCTAAGTCATTATATGATCATCAGTTATAATTTTTATTCAATTTTCACATCTGTGCAGACCACTCCTAAATCCAGACAGCTAACAAAATAATATTCCTAAAGCGCAGATCTGACTATGACTTTCCTGCTGTAATGCCAGGAGCTCATATTACCTCTAGAATCAAATATGAAATCCTCTGTTCGACATTTAAAGCAGCAACCTGCCTTTCCTCCCTCACTGAACTTTTATACATCCTAGGGTCCAGTGAAACCTGCCTTATTGTTGCTCCTCATTCATAAGGCTCCCCGCCCATCTTCACGCTCCCATGCTTGCAATATTCTCCCTCCTCCTCTTTGCCAGTTAGAATCCTTAGCCTCCTTCAGAGGTCAGCTCAAACTCTACTTCCTAACCAAGGCATTTCCTAGCACCGCCAGCTATTAGTACCCCACCCCCCAAATTATCTTATATTTATTTTGTATAGGTGCAAGAATAGGAAGCAAGGTGGTTTAACGGTTAGAGAGCTGGCCTTGGAGTCAGGAAAATCTGGGTTCAAAACCCATCTCAGACATTTACTAGCTGTGTGGCCATGGACAAGTCACTTAAGCTCTCTCAGTTTTTCTGCAGGTTAAATGAAGATAATAATAGCACCCTTTTGTTAGCAAAGAACTGGAAACAAAGTAGATGCACACTGATTGGGGAATGTCAAAACAAATTGTGATACATGAAATATTATCATGCTGTTAAAAAAAATAGGTAACATGAATATAGAAAAGCAAGCACTGCCATGAATTGATCCAAAATGAAAGCAGCACCAAGAAAACAATAGACAGGACTGCAACTATGTAAATGGAAAGAACAAGCACAACACAATGGAAAATGAATGTTAGAAAATTACAAAGAACATGCTTGGCCAGAGGAAGAGATAATTGAAGACACCTCCTCCCACTCCCTTGCAAAGATAAGGTCCACAGGTGAGAAACACTGAATATGCTGCCAGATTTTTTTTCAATGTATTGATTAAGTTTGCTGATTGGTGTTTTCCTCTTTTTCTTAAAAAAAATCTTTGTTATGTAGAATGGCTTCTGGGGGAAATGGAACAAGAAATTTAGGTGATGTAAGAACAAAATATATCAATAACATTTATTTTTTTAAATAAGAAAATTAATATTGTGAAATTGTAAAGAACAAACTTGACCTCAAAGAAGAGATATAAGTACACACCTCCCTCCCCACCCATTTACAGGAGTTAGTGGTCCACAAGTGAGGAACACTGCATATAAAGTCAGATTATCCCCCCTGTATTGATCAATTTGGATAATTTTTTTATATTCTTTTTCTTTCAAAAATTCTTTGTTATTATGGATTGCTCTTGGGGAGAGGGGACAATTCAGGGGAAATATAGACTATATAAAAACAAAAGATATAAAAATCCATTTAAAATGTTTTTGTTGTTTGTCCTTCCTTCTAGAAGACCATGAAGATGATGATAATGATGATTATGTATTGTCTGCCCCTCCTCCACAGAACGGAAGCTCCTTGAAGGCAAAAACTGTTTAAATTTTATCTTTGTATCCCAAGGACTTAGTATCGTCTCAGGCACATATTGGGTGCTTAATTAAAGGTTTGTTGATTGACTAATGGAGCCATATTGCCAATCCTAGTCTCACTTAACAGGAGCACAGAATTTTTGGTTTAGAGGGAGTTTAGAGACCTGCTCCATGCCTGAACAACAAGAATCCCCTTTATCACACATCCAACAAATGGGAGTCTTTGTATCCCATTCCAATGTTGGATAGGTTTAAACAGCTAGTTTTCCCTTTTACATGAAACTAAAATCTGCCCCTCCCTAACCTTCTCCTATGGATCCTTCGCTCCACCCTCTGGTGCCATGCAGAAAGTCCAACTCCTCTTCCATTTAATGGCTCTTCCAATACTCGAAGCCAGTTTTCTATGTCCACTGAAGTTGCCTATTATCCAGCCTAAACATCCTCAGTTCCTTCAACCATTCCTAGCAGCACTTTATAAAAACTAGCACTTACTTCTGTTGTCGTGTCTAACTCTTCGAGACCTCATTTGGTGTTTTCTTGGCAAAGATACTGGAGTGAAGGGGAGAGACCTGAGACAGGGAGGTCTAATTAGGAGACTAATGCAATGGTCCAGCCAATCACCAAGCACTTATTGAGCACCAACTATATACCAGACAAGGTGCTAGGAACTGGGAATAAAAAGAAGCGAAACAATCCCTGCCCAGACGGAGCTTACATTTAATGGTGGAGACAATACGGCGATGCGAGGGGAAGGAATCGGAAAGGCCTTTTACAGAAAGTTGGTACTGGAGGAAAGTGCAGAAGAGGATCGGGAATTCTAGGAAGGGCAGGGAAAAGAGTGAGTATACTTCGGCCACGGGGAGTCGCAAGGGCAAAGGTGGTTACACGGGAAATGCCGTACTATGGATGAGGCACCCTGAGTCAGGGTGAGAACTGGCCGTGAGTGGAAGAGGACTCCTCCACGAAGCCTTCCCAGATGCTCCAGCGCTAATGCCCGCCACCCCCACCCCAGCCCTGGGTTCTGGCCTCGGGAATACTCGGCCCCGAAGAGTATTTACACCAGCCTAAGACGCGCTCCTTACCCCTCCCCCCATCAGCATGGAGCTCCCTGCGAGCAGGGCCCGGAGACCCCGTGGGCAGAGAAGCTCCTTGACCTGCCCCGCCCGCCCAGACTCACCCACTGCCTGGGAGCCTACACGAGCGAAATCACAACAACCCAGTGCGGCCTGGAAGTGACGATACGGCCCTCCTGGTGGGACCTGGCTTTGTCCTGGAAGGCGAGCGGAGGAAGGCGCCTCGGCCCCACCCCACCTCCTGCGCCAGGGGAAAGAGCTACCAGCGAGGGGGCCACCGAGACGGTGACTCCTCCTGGAGGCCTAGAGCGGCCCGAGGCCAGCCGAGCGCCCGGATTGGGCGGCTCCCGAGGGCGGGGTACCGGGGCAGCACTTCCGGCCGGGGAGGGCGACCTCGGGAGGGGTGTCGGCGGCCCGTGGGCTTCAGCCGCTCGGTCTCCGGCAGCGGAGCCGCCTCCGAGTCTGCTCCTCCTGCGCCGCCCGGGAACAGAGGGTGAGTCCAGCCCGCGCCGGAGGCCCCCGGAGCGGAGGGCGAGCCCGAGCGGGGTGGGAGAACGTCCGGGGAGGGAATCCCCAGGGGGAGCGCGCCCGCTACCCGACACCCCGGCTGTGGCCTAACTCCACGGGCCAAGGCGACGCGACCGCCCGCCGTCTCCCTTCATCCAGTGGACGAAGCTTGCAGTCCTCCAGCCCCCCAGATCTTCGCGCTTATTAGCCGCTCCTCCCCATCTTGTAACACAAGTGCAAGACTTCCCTTCATCCTTAAATTTCAGGTTCTTTTTGGGACGAGGTCCTGGTCTGTCAGGATTTGTTTGGCTCCAGCGTGTTAGCTGTCCTGTCATCTATTTCTATTTAATACAGCACAAGTCACAGACTCCTGGGCCCCTCCACTAGAGACCCTCCAAGTTGGTATCAAACTACTCCTAACTATTCTTGGGACCCCCTAGTTTTGAATCCACCCAGTTGTACCGTTATCTCATCTAGCGAACATCTCTTCATTTTGTCCACAGGGATAGCTTGAAAGACTTTTAATGATGCTTTCAATTAAATTTCCATAAGTCTGTGGCATTGCTTTGATCTGCCAGTCTAATAACCCTGTCAGAAAAGGAAATGTTAGCCTGTCAGTGAAGCCATCCATGCAGGTTCTTTGTCGTCACCGTTTCCTTTTCTGGCAATTAAGTAACCATCCCTTTAATAATGTAGTCTATATTTTGCTCAAGAGTTTCTCCCACTTGTTCAATAGATGTTTATTTTTCTCTGCAACTGAGATATATTGTTTCTTTCACTTCTAACTTTTTCCCCATTTAGTTACTAGTAATATCAATATTTATAGCCAGCATTTATTTTTCAATTTAAGGTTTACAAAGTGCTTTATTATCACATTTTATGGTTGAGGAAACAGGTAAATAGTTAAGTGACTTACAGCTAGGAAGGCATTTTTATAGCATTTTATAAGGCAATTTAAGATTTTAAAAGTTCTTTGTTATCTCCATCCTTTTACATTTGAGGAAATTGAGGCAGGTAGAGGTTAATGACTTGCAGATAGTAACATATTTAGATAACATTTTATATGTGCATTTATATAGCATTTTAAAGTTTGCAAAGTGCTTTAAATGTTATCTCCATTCTTTTACATTTAAGAAAACTGAGGAAGATAGAGGTTAATAGACACAGAGATGAGTATCTGAGGCAGTATTTGAACTTGGGTCTCCTTGACTCCTAATCTATCGCTCTATCCACTATCCACATATGATGTGGTGTGAGATCTAAATTGAATTCATTTTTTCTGCTCTTTCATACAATTTTTCCAACAGGATTTATTGACTTTCCCACTAAAGCTCTATGTTGACACCATATCATTTCATGGATGTGAACCAGGGTTCTAGTGAAGTAAAAGCTTTGGCAGGTTATATCAAGCATGAAAGACTTCAACTACCTCTCTAATGATGGAGGTGCCTGTGTAGGTTCAGTAGGAATCATCACTTGGTTAGCTCTGCATAGAAACGGCATGCTGTAGTGCAGTAGTCTTAAAATCAAATAGAAACAAATGCCTGCCTGCAGCATATTGACTTAGAAAACCGCAATTAACATTACCTGTGTTCTATTGTATTTTTTACTTATTTTGTTAAACATTTCCTAGTTGTATTTTAGTCTGGTTCCTGTTGCACTGTAGTTTGACTCCTCTGATGTAGTGGTTAGAATGCTAGACTCAGAGTCAAGAAGATCTGAGGTCAAATATAGTCAAAGACACTTACAGGCTTTGTGATCCTGATTAGGTCACTTAACCTCTCTGGACCTCAGTTTCCTCAACTGTATAATAAGATGGTTTGACACAGTAACCTATAAGTTCTCTTCTAGCTCACAATCTATGATCCTAAATATATACAAAATAAAAGCAAGATAAGGGGTGGGGGAGGGATGTACTAGCAGATGAGAGAACTAGAAAAGACCAGATGTGGAAGGTGGTACCACTTGAGCTGAATTCTGAAAGAAACTAGGTAATCTAAGAAATGAAGGTAATGAAGGGAACCCATTTTAGTGATGATGACAGCCTGTGCAAAATCTTGGAGGTAGAAAAGCTGGTGTTTTGTGTAAGGTACACAAAGGAGAGTAATTACATATAATTAGACTGGAAAGGTACATGAGAGACAAGTTGCAAGGGACTTTAAATGCCAAACAGAGGAGTTTATATTTGATCCTAGAAGTCTTAGCGAGCCAGTGCAGATTATTGAGTAGTTAAGTGATTTTGGATTTAGGAAAAGTATCTTAGCAACTATCTGGAGGTTGGATTGGAGAGGGGAAGTATTTCAGGCAAGGACACCAAATAGGATGCTATTGTAGTCATCCAGGTAAAAGGTGAGAAGGGCATGAACTAAAGTGATAGATACCTTGTGAGTAGAGCAATGATGAGGACTCAAAGAGATGTGAGGTTGGAAATGGCAAGGCTTGGCAACTAATTGATTATTTGAGTGAGGGAGAATGAGAGTCAAGAACTACTCTTAGGAAATAATGAAAAGTGGAAAACAAGGGGGCCTACAATAACAGACTTCATAGAGAAACTAATAGACAAAATAATAGACAAACTGTATTACAGAGCAGTAATCATCTAAACCAGAAGTATCAAACCCCAAAATTTGGGGGAAATGTAATTGGGAAATGTTTAACAAAAAAAGAAAATACAACATGACATAGATAATGTTAATTTGTGGTTGTTTTCTAGGTCAGTATGGGGCCTTTAGGCACCTATTTCTATTTGAGTTTGACATCACTGATCTAAACAATTTGGTACTCATTAAAAAATAGGGAAGTCAATCAGTGGAACAACTTTGGTGTGCAGCATACATAAACAAACATACACAGAGTAGTGTAGTGTTCAGTAAACTCAAAGACCCCCAGTTACTTCAGTAAGCTCTTACTGTTTGACAAAAACTACTGGGAAAACTGGAAAGCAGTCTGGCGAGAAATTGGTTGTAGATCAACATCTCAAACTGTGTAGCAAGATAAATTCCAAATGGATACATGACTTGGGCATAAATGGTGACATAAGCATATTAGAGGAGCAAAGGAGATAATGCTCTTCAGATCTTTGACTCAGAGAAGAGTTCATGATCAAATGAGGATAGAGAAGATCATAGAAGATAAAATGGACAGTTTTTAATCATGTAAATTTTAAAAGTTTTATATAAAAAGCCAATGAAGTTAAAATTAGAAGAGAGATAGGTAAATGGGGAAAACATCTTTACAACAAAATTGTCTGATAACATTATCTCATATATATAACATACATATATATACATATACATATACACATATCAGCATTGATTTAAATTTATGAGGACAAGAACTATTCCTTGATACTTAAATGATTAAAGGACACAAATGGGCAGTTTTCAAAAGAAGAAATCCAAGCTATCAACAACATAAAAATGCTCCAAATCACTGATTATTAGAGAATTGCAAATTAAAG